ATTATTATAAATTATTATTATATAATTATGTGTGTGCAGGTATATATAATTTATATTATTTATTTTATTATGTAGGTATTAATTATTATTATAAATTATTATTATATAATTATGTGTGTGCAGTTATATAATTTATATTATTTATAGTATTATATAGATATTAATTATTATTATATATTATAATTATATAATTATATCGGTATACAATTTTATAAACTTTATATTAATGATACTTGTTAAACAACGACACAACGACAACAATAATAATATTATTTATTAATAATAGATAATAGTATAAAATATAATTAATATATACTGCTATTGTATAGTATATAATAAATTAATTATATAATATATAATAATAATTATTATTATGATTATTATTTTACAAAGTAAAGTTACGTKCAAAATATTGTTATATTATAATACGTATAATATTTGAATTATTATTTATATTATTATTATTATTACTAATTGTAATTGTATGATATAATAATTTTATTGAAATATGCAAAATGAGAACAAATATATTATATTAATATAATATTAATAATTTCAGACACTTGATAAATATTTATTATTATTATTATTACTAATTGTAATTGTTTGTATCATATAATAAATTGTATTTAAGTATGGAAAAAATGAACGATTAAATTATATTATATTAATATAATTTATTAATAATTTTAAACAGTTGATAAATGTTTAGTTGTACTGTCGGAAAAATGTAAATCATTGCAATCATGTCGACGTAATAATAATTTATTACGATTATCAGAAATTTGAAAAAAATCACGATTAATAGGTGTTAATGAATCCTTTTTCGAACGTCTTGCTTTCCATGCACGTAAAATTTCTGCTCTTACTTCACCGTTTAATAAACAATACAACAAAGCTACGAATGCTCCCTAAAAAAAAAAAATAACAAAATAACAAAATAACCAATTCAAATCAAATCACATTAGAATCAGATTTTGTGATGATATAAATAATATAATACCTGAAAAGATGCGAATAGTTGATCACAAAATAACCAAATCAATTCAATATGATTATCCTTGTGATAAGAAAGTCCCAAAAATAATGTATAATGTGCGCCAAATAAGGGTACCAAAATTAACGTTGATTTGGCCCATCTTCTGTAATAAATAATAATTTTAAATAACATATTTTATGAAAAGATTAAACATTAATTGAAAAGATTAAACATTCAATGTAAAGATTAAACATTCAATGAAAAGATTAAACATTTAATGAAAAGATTAAACATTCAATAAAAAGATTAAACATTCAATGAAAAATTAACAACAATAATAATTGATATATATATAATATAATTATTAAATGATTTGTTAACTCACCTGTACTGCATTTTTTTGTGTTGCATGTGAACCGACGTTTTCAATTTTACAAAAAGTACTCGAACGATGTTTAAGAATAGTAAAAAATTGAACTACAAACAATTAATATAATATTATACTACATATATAGAATAAAAATATACAATAAATTTATATATATATATATTATATTAATTAATTATTAATTAATAAAAACATACTAAACTGCAACTAAAAACTAAACAACCTCAAACATACTAAACCAAAATGCAACTAAGAAAATTAATATAATGCTACACTAAATATATATAATAAAAATATATAATAAATAAAATTAATAAATATATATATTATTAATTAATTATTTATTAATTAATTATTTATTAATAAAAATATATTAAACTACAATTAGAAACTAAACTACCTCAAACATACTAAAC